AAAAAAAAAAAAAAGGGATAAAAGACAAAATTGGGACCTTTATTCCAAGAGAATTTATTAAATTCAAGTGCATCCCCCTTTTTACCAACTCTAAGAGGGCCTAACTCCACTGCTGCCCCATATCCAATTGATGAGCAACCAGGCCCTTCAACAAAATTCAATAATTAAGGATACCACAAAAAATAAGGTAAAACATATTATAATAGGATAATGATAATCATTGACTAAACCTCAAATAATCAAAAAATGCATAGACAAACATTTTATAAACATATTATACATTTATCTATTTAATTATCATTTATACCTTTTATAAATTTTTATTTATTTATTATTATTATTGTTGTTGTTAAACACTTTCAACAACTTAATTATAAAATAAGTCATAACAATTCATCATCTCTTAAAACATCAAGATAGATATCAAAAAATTTTAAGATCATTCGGATAATTAAGCTCATCCAAACTGTTCCAGTTAGAGCCGTCAATTTTTTAGCTCAAACCGAGTTTGTGAGCTCGTGTTCTTCAACCGGCAAAAGTTTTCTAGGCCCGATAGATCGATAGACTTTTACGATTTTCGGAAGAGCTTAAGCCGGACCGGCATTTTACAAAATCCAATTAAAAAAATATATATTGACATAGTAACTCCATTTCACATAGAAAGATTGGGGGAACTATTTAAGAGAATATTTAATTAATAACATACAATATATTAGTATATTGTATTAAATATATTATATATTACCTCCATTGAGCCAGAGGAGAAGAGGCTTGTTGATTGGGTGAGATTGAGCCTCAAAGAACCAATAGAAAAGGGCCCTCTCATGAGCTTCATTAACTGTGATGTACCCTGAGAAGTGTGACACACTAACATTTGGTTGGCCAGGCAATTTTATTACTCTATCATTCTCATATTCCTTGGCCTTGGGACTTTCTACTGCTGCATTAATTTTGCAGCCTGCATTGACTGCCACAACAAAAACAATGATAAATGGCTTGATTTTATTGGGGAGTAGATGACTTTTGGGTGCCATTCTTTGTACTTCTCATTCACCACTTATTTTTACAAGAGTGAGGGGACAAGTGGATTTGTGTGTGTTTATGTGTGTTTATGTGTGTGGATGAGAGGGAGATATATGATTGAATAGTGGATATATTTGATAAAAGGAGGCCAAAGAATAGTAGTTGTACAACTAGTGTAGTGTGTGCCTTTTTCAATGGAAAACATGGGAAATGGGTATACTGTTTGTTCGGGCACCTGTTAGTTCAGATTCAAATTTTTTTTTTTTTGGTTGTTGCTCTTTATTTTTTTCTTGTTTTTTGCTTTCGGTGTATGATTGGACTTGTGTAGATCTGTGATTTTTTTGGCTAATTTAGGGTCTTGACTATGTACAGGTTGGAGATACGGCCTTAACTTCTCCGTTGGGTGTTTTTCTAAAAAAAAAAAAAGAGGATAAAATATACAAGGTTGTGTTTGGGGAATATACAAAATAGTTTGAAAAGAAAAAAAAAAAAGAATTATTATGATTGGTAGGGAATACAAGGTGTGTGGATGGGTTTCCATCATTATTTGTCCAATTTTTAGGCTCCATAATTTAGGGAATGTTGATTGGTAGTAAAAATATTTTTAGTTTTTATTATATGTTTAATCATGGTTGAGCTCATTAAAATCATTTTTATTTTACAAAGAATACTACTCCCTCTGTTTACTTTTTATTTTTGATTTAGATTTGGTATTTTTGTTGTTAGTTATATGTTATTTTAAACAACATCTTCCAATAATAAGGGTTACAAAATATTTAATTATGAAAAAAGAATAAATTAATTATAAAGAAATAAAAAATATTTAAGACGTGGTAAGAGAAAATGATTATTGGGAAACTAAGAGCATCTCTAATGATTGAACATCTATTTTGAGATGAATAGTGTGGAGAAAGAGAATAAAAATATTTTGTCTCCAATAATTAACGTCAATTGTTGAATTATTTGACACGTGTAAAATAATAATTGGTTGGTGGAGAGAGAAATATAAAATAAACAATATAATATATGATAGAAGATGTCTAGAAGTCTTTCTACATCTAGAAAGACTCTACAATTTTCAACCGTCACATCAGATTTTTGAGGCTATGTGGCAATGAATTAGAGCAACCCATGTACCATTGGAGATGCTCTAATATCTAGCTATTGGACAAAAGGCTCGCCATGAATTGTTACATTTCTTGTTTTCTCTAGTGATTATCATTATATATTTTCTACAAAAATCACTATTGATCAACTCATATATTTTTAGTTAACAATTTATTCATCTTAGTTAACAATATATAATTTTATCACAATTTTTCTAAATATATATATTTTCAGTTTTCATCACACCGATCAAACTTTTTTTTGGAAAAACTTATATGTCAAATCTCGTCCTCTTATGAAAATTAAATTGAGGATGAAAATACACATATGGATTGTTTATCATAATTTTTCACGTCCAATGTGTTGGAATTAGCTTTATGCGAAAACCATCGCTATATCCCAGGAGCTTTCATATCAAATATTCGAGAATCAAGCTAGATAGCGGAAGCGTACCTTAGGTGGATTTATAGATCCGATCACCATGGACTTGGATCACGAACACGTCCTCGATCACGAACGATGTCGGTTTTATGGCCTTCCTCAACTAAATTGTCTTATTCCTCATATGGGACCGTCATTCTCAATTCTGATGGGGAGAAGAGAGAACTATGTTTGATTTAGTGTATTGGGGACCATAACCAAGAGGGTCTATATATACTAATAGGGTAGACCACCCATTATCACCTAACCCTAGTAATATTAGGTATCCACTCATTAAGTCCATATCAATTTATGTAGCCCATGAACTCTACTTAATTTAGATCACTTAATTGAGTCCATTAATTAATTGAATAGCTAATATAATATAATTGTATATAATATGTTGCCCATAATTAGATTATACATAGGAAATAAAATATTTCCTAACAATCTCCCACTTGAGCTACATATTATTTCCGAAGCAATTATATTAATTCCTTAATTGCGCAACTTTATGCTATTCATAGTCAGACTACCCAATCTGGTCCATCTCATATACTAGCAATGAAACTACCGCGGCTTTCACCACATTACAAATAGTGGATAAACCCCGGAAGTCACCATACTAGTACACTCAATGACATAGATCAAATATGGTGAGTGGCATGGAAATTACATGCAACGTGATCTTTAACATGTCTATTTCCAACTGGTCCAACTTTAAATCCTTATTGAGAACAATCCATGAATGTAACACGAAGTCACAAAAATAGAAAACTTTAGTGATTCATAACGAATCAGAACCATCAACTTTATTCTGCAGAAAACTGAAGTGATAACTTCAAGAAAACATTGAACACCAACTCCCACTAAACCAAGGCACTATCCATAGTAACACTTATATGAGCGATATACTCATAAAATACTTCAAGTGTTAATACCTTAGCATATCTTATAATGGAGCTATGAATTTGCTAGCATAAATTCATTCTTATGTGTTCAATAAAAAATTCATCAACATGAATTTTATCCTTAGCAACAAGAAACTTTATGAACAATTTTTTGTTGTTGAAAAATGGCAAACTAATATTATCACAATAAACTTTAGTGGTATTCAATACCATCCGCAACATGCAACATAGAGATAATATTATGCAACCATAACCTTATAAGATGCCTTCAGATAAGCTAAATCTCAATTGCTAAAGAGGAATAAACTATAAGTGTCTGCTTGGCACTTTCCAAATTAGTTCTTCCAACTAACAGTTAATGTAGCTTGACTTAGATTTGGATCGTTCAACTTTACAGACATCCAATAAACTTAAAATTAGAGTTCCAAATGATCTCCCAAAAATGATCCAATAATCCTTAAGTGAGTATAAATTCTCTTTTGTTCTCAATCAAAACTTTATTAACCCCTTGGCTGCATTCAAAAGGTTAATAATTAATATTCAATCATTTGTCAAATAATTACATGTATGTGAAATCCAAATACATACAATCATGAAAATACAAAAGATTACCAACCATATGTATATATCTTTTGTCTATTCTAAACTTTAACTCATTCTTGGGACAATGAATGAGATAGATAACATAAGTTTTCTTAAGAGTATCGACCACCCAACTTATAGTATATACAATTATTAACTTTATTTATCTCAATACAAAATGAGATAATGACTTAATATAATTGTAATACCATAGAGGGAGTTTACTTAATATTAAATACTTCAAAATGACATAGATTACAAAGAGTTTCTCATCAAAACCAAAAAAAAAGCCTCTTGTAACCAAAATCATTATTTAGATGAAAATTATGTTGGCTAGACATACTTATATCTCTCATTATTGTCTTTTGAATCCATTGAGCCACATTTATGACCAATGAGACTCGAACTTTTAGACAATCTGACAAGACCTCATAATGTCAATTCATACATAATTTCATCAAAGCTTCATGCATACTTATTTGAGGTGGTTGAGTTTGAATTTTGGGACCATATTTGCATTTCTAAAAAATGCTTTATAACATTATTCTTTATAGCCTTATCTCCCACTCAAGCTCAACTTCCTCAAATGAACTTTAAATTCATTATTAACAAAAAGCTATAGAATTTTGAATGAGTCCAATTTTTAGTCCATTTTACTTATAGACATGAAAGTCTTACCTTAGTTGGACAACCCCAAAGTGTAAGCTGAAAATCCATAAGGGATGTGAGTTTTACTCAATTCACAAACTCTATTAATAATGAATCACATTGCTTCTCACACTATTGACAAAGAGGAGTAGTCAACCATATTTCTTAACAAAATTGAGTTAGATTCATATGTCTTGTACCACTTAAAGTTTGATTGCTTTATGTGAGTGACAAAACAAGAAAACTTACTCACGAAATACTTAAGTGGTACAAAACTAAACTAGCTAACTCATATTGAGAAGCAAACTTTAGAATGTGGATTAATGAAGGATACATTGTACATTAAGTCTTTTCTCGTTCAAATTTTCTTTAATTACATAACAAAAGAAACACCTTATGCACAATTAATGTGCCTTTAGATTGAATACGAGATTTAGACATATCACAATGTACTTCCTTAGGTTCCATTTAACTTAATTGAAACAATAATCAAAAGATATATTATTTCATCAAATATCCTTAGTGGAACTTCCTACATTATCCATCAACCTTATGTCCCAATAACAACCAAATATTGTTCTATAAGCATATAAAACTTATAGAAAAATATATAATGACAAATGACTTAAGGTAAGCAGATGGAAAAATTTTGAACAATACCAAAATACTCACACATAAATTTATGTCATACATAAATATGGGTAAATAGACCAAATAGGGACACGTGGCAAGACACCATAGTGCAACATTAATCTCGTATATGGACAGAAAATTAACTGCAGTGGTAATCTTGTTGTAATGATCAAGCATTGATAATAAGTTCTGTCAAACAAAAGTCTATCTTTGGACTGACTAATGTTCACATGAACAATCTAATTAATTATCACTTACTTATCATCACATGTGTGTTGTTATTTTGCCAAATTGTGTCTACCTATGGGCTGATCACAAAACGCATAAATAATTCCACACGACATCTATGTAATTTCAATAAAGCCGCTCTCCACATACAGAGGTTACTATGACAACATGATGTTTTGATTGACTAAATTGAAAATTACTAGACCAATTGAGTAAAAGCCATATGCGTTTCTCTTATCACCATATGCGCGTTATTATTCGGTCAACCTGTGTCTACCTATGGGTCGAGCACAGATCACATGAATAACTTCACACAACATTAAAATGATTTCAATAAAGTCATTCTCTATGCACAGAGGTTGCTATGGCAACATGATAGTTTGATTGACTAAATTAAAAATCACAACATCATAGAAAAAGTGATCGAGAATTTCTCTACTACTCAACTGAACAACGTTAAATCGTCGCCCCAGGAAAACTTT